TATGAAGATGTTGGCGGTGGTCAACCACAAGTCCAAGTACACCACTAGCATCGTTGAGGGTCATCCCCAAATGCACTTTTACAGCGTCTGTTGATAGTAGGCCATAGAAGATTTGGTCGAATGGTGTTGGATCAGGATTTGAGTTTGAGCCTTTTGTGGATTGTGGCTCATGTGATGCTACACAAAATTTTGGACCCTGATTGGGCTTACCCTTATTGGGCCTAGCCTCTTCCCAACTTTATGGATAGAGGTGGAACAAATGGGCCGGAATAGGCGGGTCAACCCTAACCCAGTCAGCATCAAGCCTGGTTTAACCCGAACCACCTAAGAGACAGATTGGGCATATACCCCGTCGGGCGGGCCGGGTCTTCATGGACCAACTCGACAGCTCGGAGGGTTGGATCAAAAAAATTAAAAAAATAATAATTTTTTTTTTTGCAAATACCCCTTGTACCCTTGAAATATAATCATTTTATAGCAGTTTGAGGGGTTTTTTTTGGTCATTTTCTTTTCCCATCTATAAATAGGGCCTAAACTCTCATATTATCTCACATCTCAAATTCTCTCATTTTCTCTATTGCAATCTTTAAATTATTCTCTTTGTTGTCAATTTGCTCTCATTTTAATTTTTATTAGTTTTTGCAATTTTCAATTCATATTTTCAAATTCCAATTCTCCTTTAATTTTTTATTTCTTCTATATCCAATTTTTTTTATTAACAACAATGGATAAATATTTTCATCCCATCAATTTCGATAATGAAGAAAATTATCCTAATCCCCCTAAATTTACTAACATAAATGCAGTAGATTCAAATAGTCTCATTTTCCCATTCTCAGAATCTGATATACCTCATAATATTCCCTCCCTTCCTCCCCATGCTACTACAGCTCCCGGTGGTTTTATAAGTCATCCTCGTCCAACTTCATCTCAAGCAGAAGCGGGTTCATCAACTGTAATCAAAACTAACGATAGACACACATCAGACGTTTGGGTGCATTTTGATAAGTTTTACGAGACAGAAAATAGAGTTCACATGAAGAAAGCAAGATGTAAGTTTTATGGAAATATTTATAAAGCTGGATACAGATAATGGTACTAGTACTTTAAAAAGACATGTTAATAAACATATTACTCAACAAGGAAATATAGAAACTAATCAAACTCAAATAACTAATATGGGTACTACTTGACGTTATAATTCTGATGTATATAGGAAACAATTAACTTTATATATTACTGCAATCAACCTATTAATATGGTTGAAGATAAATATTTTGAAAGATTTATTAAAAATTCTTTTTTTCCAGGATTTAAAAGTTTTTCTAAAACTGCAATTAGAAATTATTTAATAAAATTGTTTGGGAAAATAAAATTAGAATTAAAAAATAAAATACACAGTTGTCATGTTATTGTGGCTCTAATCGCCGATATTTGGAGTGTAGAGTTAAACAAGATTATGTTTGTGTGACTAGTCATTATTTTGATAATGAATGTAAATTAAATAAATCTTTATTGGGATTTAGATTAATGGATGTGGATCATAGTGGTCAACAAATTTATAATAAAATTGTTGAAGTTTTAGAAGATTATGATGTTGTTCATAAAGTTATAAGTTTAACTTTAAATAATGTAAGTGCTAATAGTAGAGCTATGAATTTTTTTAAAAATAAATTTTACTTTTTATGACAATTTAAAGTTTTTTCACCAAGCTCTGCATGTCACATTATTAATTTAATTGTGAAAAGTGGTATGAAAAAAATTAGAAATAATATTAATAGAATTAGAGATTTTTTAATAGTAGTAATAGAAGAAATGCTAAATTTCAAGATACTTGTATAAAGTTAAATATGTCTCCTAGAACTTTTACATTAGACATGTCTATTAGATGGAAAAATACTTATTTAATGCTTGATTCATGTTTACCTTATGCAAATTTAATTAGTTATTTTGTAGCAAATAATATAGGTCCTCATTATTTAGTAGACAGTGATTGACATATAACTCAAAATTTTCATTATTTTCTTAAAAATTTTGATCAATTCACTTTACAAATTTCTGGTGTGTATTATCTTACTAGTCCATTGGTGATACATATAATTATAAAAATTTCATATTTATTTAAAAAAACAGAAACAATAAAATGTTGGCGGGACCAATAGAAGCAATGGAATTAAATTTTAAAAAATATTGGAAACTTATTCATTTTCTTTATTATTTAGCTGTCATATTTGATCATATAATTAAATTAGCGCGTTTAGAAAATGGTTTACACACATTAAGTGAAAATTTACGAGACGAAGCATATACCAATCAACTATGAGAGATAAGAGAGTGTCTTGCAGAGGTATTTCTGTAATATGAAAACAGGCATGGGAACCAACGAAGAGGTGAAATACCTAAGGAAGTAGTATCAGAAGAAACAAATGAAGACTTTGACTCCTAGAGTGCACTTAATAGGCCGAAGAAGACCCGAACCCGAAGCACAACCTCATCTTCAGAAGCATCAACAACGAATGTACTGTCCTCCATACAGCTACAGAGTAATGATCTTCACCAATATTTGGGAACCCCCAACGTGCTACCAGCAAATCCACAACAAAAAGCCAATTTTGATGTCTTAGAATATTAGAAAACCAGAAAAATTATTTTTCCAGTATTATTAAGACTTGCCCTGGATGTTTTCTTCGTTCCTGTCTTAACCGTCTCATCAGAATAACCATTTAGTGCAAGTGGAAGAATTTTAAATGAAAGGAGAACTAGACTTTCACAAAAAATGATTAAAGTCCTCACATGTCTTCGAGATTGGGAACAATCGCGCCATCAGGATCAATACAAGGTTGTTGACGATACTTTAATAGAATCATTTCAATTTTGTAATATAGATGATATGGATGAAGCAGGTCCTAGTCAACTCCCAAATTAATTGTTTTGTAAATTATAACTTTGTAACTTATAAATTAATTATCAATTATTGCACTCTTTTTTCCTTACCAAGTTTTTGTCTCATTGAGTTTTTCTTGGTAATGTTTTTAACGAGACAATAATTATTATATTTTCTTATTTCTTATTTTATTTTTTGATAAATGAATAAATCTAATTTTTCATATATTACAATTTTATTATATTAAAATTAAATTAATATTTGAAATGTTAACAAAAAAAAAAAAAATAATTTAATTGAATACTTAATATTTGAAAAGTTAGCTAAAAACAATTACACAAAAGAAAAAAATTAAAAAAAATTCTAGGCTAGCTTGGCCCGACTCGCACCAAAACCCGTCGGGTTACAGTTGACGGGTCGGGCTGGGCCAGTCCTTCTATGGTGAGCCAGGTTAGGCCCGACCTTCCTTTTTGCTAACTTGCCACGGGCTGAAGAGGTTATTTTTCCACCACTATTGATGGACTCTTAATTTGGACCTTACTATTATCATATTCGTCATTCTCACACAATAAAATACACAACTCAGAATCTAGATGATACTATAATGATATTTTTAATATTAAATATTTTAATAATAAACCCTTTTATTTTTGGATTTAATGGTACATTATTCTAATAATTCTTGACTTTTTAGAGTGTTAAATCAGGCTATAAAATACTATTAAAAAAAAAATAATAATAATAACTAAATTCAAAGAGATAAGCTTGCAAAGGCCACTACGGCACCACCAGTCTTACCACCCACCCCATCATAAGAAGCATATATAGCTTTCAAACATTTACAAAATTAATGTCACAGTAACCACCACCACGTGCAAGAGGATCCAGTTTCCAATGTTTTTAGATTTAAAGATTTAGTTGGCTCCAACTTCTTTATCAAATGAGGAAAAATATATGAAATTAGTAATTTTTTTGTTTAAAATAATTAATTAAAAATAAAAAAAGTATAAATTTAATACCGATGATGCACAGAACACCCTACCATATTTCGTAATATATACTGTTACCGAATTAATAAATATTATATAATACAAAACAATAGAATATGGTATACCAAATATAATCTTTTAGTATTTATTATTCTAGCTAACACGATCCAAAGTTTATACTAAACATTAAGAGATATAATATTGCATCGGATTAATGAGAATAGAGATAAGAATATATCAATGAAAGATGCAAATATATTACTAAACATTAAGACAAAATTTTACAGTTTTCAATGCAAACAGTCACTGACAGTAAACAGAATTGTCGATTTAAAAATATACAGACATGTGTACGTAAGACTCAGCATAGATAACTTACTTGTTATTCGCAAGAGACATGGGATTAAATGAATACCCATTGGTGTCTTACCCACTTCCTATTACCCATTTAAGAAGACAAAGACAGCAAATGGTCCATCCCCTCAAAATTCCATCTCCATTTTTATTTCCAAGAGAAATAAATTTGAAGCTTGAAACTAGTGGTTGAGATGTGTTGGTGGGTAGCTCTCAATGTTTCAGTTCGTTTCTGTTAAAATTCAATTCAATATTTTGTCTACATATATTGAGCTTTTTCAGGGTCCAAAAATCTGAACAAGGTGGGCATGTGATTTCACATGTAAATGGACCCAAATTGATTAAAAGTGCACATGGATGAGATAAGAATTCTCTCCCTTTGGGACCCTTAGAGCAAAACGCCAATTAGCAATTTGGCAAATTTTGCCTATAAATATCAATTGGTTTCTTCATAATTTTCACACTCGCACTTGCTCTCTTTGCATTCATTTTCTAGTCTTCTCCAGACAACAATGGCTAGATTGCTCAGCATTCTCTTGCTTTGTGTGGCTTTCATGCTTGTTTTGCTTGCCGAAAATCGGGTAAGTTTGCATCGTTTCTTCTTCTAAACGGGTTCACTTTTATGCTTCATGTGTTTGTTGAGCAATGACACTTTAGTCGGTAACAAAGATTATAAGAAGTCTATGATCGAGTTCTATTGATATCGATCATAACCGAGATAGTTAGTTTAAACTTGTAACAGCGGAAACATCGAGAGGTAAACTACAAGGAGGCCCTATTGCATAGCCATATTGTTGTACAATAGCATGTGCCTTTGCTGGGGGGCTTAGCTATATTCCAAAACACAACATTTAATGTGTCCTTTGCACTGGTGAAAAGGATTGAATACCTAACTATTTAAGCCCATTTAATCTTAAACATTAATTAGTACCGAATCTCAATATAATAACATGATTTTTGAGGTCGTAGCTTGATCCTTTTAACATTGTATCAAAGCTAAAGGTCTCGTGTTCTTCGTTTGTAATGCAGGCTACTACTGTAGAAGGTGTAAGTTCTGAGCTAAAGGCACAAAGCAACCATGGAATGGTAATTCATTAATTAAGGCAATATGTGGTCTCATTTTCAAGCCATAAATTGCCAACTTGTTTTTGCATATCATTTATTATATATTATTTAGCTAACTCTGTTGTGTGTGTGTTCATTAATTTTACTGCAGTATGGCACCACACCAGGCAGCCTTCATCCTCAGGGTAAGTTCCAAAATTTATCGATGAAACTCGCAAATCATGACGTAAAACTTGTAAAATGCACTTGTACAGTATTGTAATCGTGTTTTGTGAAAGTGTTTCGAGTGTTTTCGAAAACAGTTTTATTGATGAAATTGGTTTTGATTTATGTGCAGAATGTGCTCCAAAATGCACATACAGATGCTCAGGCACAGCATACAAGAAACCATGCATGTTCTTCTGCCAAAAATGCTGTGCAAAGTGTCTGTGTGTGCCCTCTGGAACCTATGGCAACAAGCAAACTTGCCCTTGCTACAACAATTGGAAGACCAAGAGAGGAGGCCCCAAATGCCCTTGATTAATTATTCACTAATTAATTAATTTAATGTTTCTAATCATTAATTAATTAGGTTATTATTTTGCTTAATTTGTAGCCATTTTGGCATTTTGTTCTCTTATGTGCTCTCCCTAAGCAATGTGCAATTCAAATATTAGTTAATTTATTTTGGCCCTAATTATTTTTAATTATTCCGCAATTCTTTGATGGACCGATAGCTACTTTGAGAATAAATTTATATGGGGTCTATATAAATTAAATAAAAGTAATTTTAAACAGGGACGGATCCAAAAAAATTATTTTTTTGGGGGGGACAGAGTGTAATATCAATGAATATGAGGGGTTATAGTGATTTTGAAGCTACATCTGAAAGGGGTTGAGATAAGATTCAATCAATTAGGAGGGTCAAAGGGAATAAAGTTTAGGGATGAAAAATAATATTAAAAAAAAAAAATTGATGGACTATGAATTCAATCTAATTATTTACTACTCTACATATTCTTGTAATTCAATGTGATAATAGTAGATAAAGAGTTCAATTTAATTGAAGGAAAAATATAATTAAAATAAAAATTTTGCTCAGAGACGTTGATGAGAAAAATCATTTTAAAATTTTAATAACCTATACTTAAACAATTCCGTATGTTTCCATATTTATCACTATTCTATCTCTACACCAAATACAAATACATATTTGTTTCCCTATTTTTAAAATCCTATTTTAAATTAAGAAACCTTTTAAACCCATAGGTTTGTTAATTAACAAAAACACCCTCAACAAAAAATTTATAAATTAACAAAAACACCCTCACCTATTTATAGTTGCTAGATTCTGGCAACCATCGTTGGTAGTGGCCGGAATCTGTTACAACGGCATACTGCCAGCTGAAAATGGCCGTTAATGCGCTGATCTAACGTTTTCCGGCCATCAGCAACGACCAAAGAAATGACCATCGTTGAACGTCAATGACAACCATTTCTTTGGTTGTCGCTGATGGCCATATCTGGCCTTTTTCGATCGTCGACGGTCAAATGTGGCCATAGATCTGACCTTTTTCGACTAGATTTGTGGTGGATCTGGCCGGAAAAGACTAGATCAACGCACGACCGGCTCTATTCGGCCGGTCATGAGCTGTAACACCAGATTCTGACCAGATTCTGATGGTGGTGGTTGAAATCTGGCACTGTGTATGGATGGGAGTGTTTTTGGTATTTTATAAAACTTATATATATTGGGGTGTTTAGTTAAATTAACAAACTTAGGGGTTTTTTTGTCATTTTATAAATTTTAGCTTGTAATATTCACCAAACTCTACCTACTAATAATATTTCAAAAATAATACTCAAAATATTAAAACAAACATACCCAATATATCAGGGTATCTATAATCTGATCTCGATATTCTCAAATAAAAAAAAAATAAAAAAACTATGATGTAGACAAAAAAGTCAAATATATAGACAAAAACACCGTTTTGTGTTATATGTCTTCCAGAAATAATTTTTTCCCTTTAGATTTGGGGAAAATTTTTTTGGTCCACAGATTCTAATACATAACAATTTTGTCCTAGAAGTCAAAATTTTAGATTAAAATATAAGTTAAGACTTAAGTTTTATCAATTACAGATGCTCTTGATTATTTATTTGGGAAAAGTTTATACCATGTTACTCAAATATGATACTTTTAGTTTGATTTCTGTTATACATTATTTCACGAGTATTGTTATACTTTAATTTTAAAGATTATATCTAATTTTATTTTTGCATTTCTAAAATGATTTTGGGATCTAATTTGGGATGCCTTATCGTTTTTCCAAATCTCATATGCAATTATGAAGCTAATACTTAAAAAAAAAAAATTCACCATTTTTGGAAGTGATGGAAGAAAACAATATTTACAAAGAGAGGGAAATTAAGAAAAAAAAGGAAAAAAAATACAGGCTAAATTAACTTATTAACAATAAGTCACGCAACAAGCATAGGATAAAAAGCAATTTTCCAATATATATATATATATTATCTATGATATATATATATTTATTATATATATATATTTTATAGTAATTAATGTTATCAAGTTATCAATATTCTTTTCTCCTAATACAAAACTTACATGAGTTATGTACATAGTTAGTATTTGATGTAGATGTTCTTAAATTTATAACATACCGAATTAAAAGTTAACAACCTGTTGCTAGCTTCACAAACTATGAAATCAAAGCCAATAACCTGTCGTTGATTGTTAGGGCCAAAAAAGGTCCTCGGCCCAAATAGGTCTGAAGATCAAGACACCTTCAACAAAGCTCGGAGCCATGACCCAATTCCGATTGGGCCTGCAACTGAGTCTGCATACTAGGTCCTTTCGGTACACCTACCCTGTTGCTCACTACTTGGGCCCAATAAGCAAAAGCACGATTCTCTTAGGCCTCGTCACCAGCTTGTCTGGGCCCAAGCCCTTTGATCCTAGACCACCTTTTGGACTTGGGATCTACTTGGAGCTCAGGGTCGCCTACTTACCCCAATACTACCCAAACTCTATTGAAGAGGTCCATTACTACCCTAATTCGTCTAAGATCCATGTCTTAGACCTGTTAGGACTTCGTTTCCCACTAAGGTAAGGGAACCAAAGGTTATACTTTTTCACAAACCTTAACTTCAAGGACTCACAGTCCTACTAGGATTCGAAGATCCTACAGTCATTATTTAAACAGGGGTGAACCCTTTCACAAAGGACACATACATTACACATTCAGACCCCGCAGTTCTTACTCTTGAGAATTCCGTATCACAGCCGTAGTTATAGTCGCTGACTAGACTTTTGGTAACCTTCTCTCTCCCTAACCCTCACTAAATTAGCCTCATTCGGCTTTGCTAACTTGAGTGTCAGAGTGTCCAAGGCAAACACCACCTCGGTGTTTTCCATTCGCTTCACGCTTGTTTTCTTACGTGTGCAAGTACAGTGGATTGCTGGTGGCCTCAACCTCACGGGATCATACCCTATTTCCGTAAAGGTAGATTTTTTGCATCTACAGTTTGGCGCGCATCGTGAGGCCTTTGATGTAAAAACCCCCTCAGTCAGGTATCCTCTGAATATCTCTCAATGAGAATCCTAGGGATACATGTCTGGAGAACGAGTTGTATTTAGAAAAAAAATATGTGTAAGGATAATAATAATAATAATATCCAAAACATGCATATAAGATGTCACGCAGGATCCAAACTTATAATTTCAAAAATTTCAAGAATTTATCCGAAAATTACACAATCAAAACATATTTATAGGGTGGAAGCTTCCAAAGGTGTTTCACAAACATGTATCATTTACATTATTTACATCAAGATAAAAACATCAAGGTGACAATAAATCATCTCCCCTCACGTGTAGCCCCGTTGTCTCTAGCATCCTTCGCTTTTGGTCTACTTGCAAAGCAATCAACAATGAAAAGGTGAGCGCTAATAGCTCAGTAAGGAATGATCTATTTCATTCTAAATGTGCTATTTGACCTTCATTTAAACATATTCGTTAACACATCACTTATCTTTTACATCTAGGTATACTTCCCCCTATTTTTTATAATTCATATGCTTTTCATTATTTTATCCTATGGCTATATAAACATCAATGCATACACATACAAACAAGTATGTAAACATAGTACACACATATTACATGTCATGATATAACATCTAAATATCATCTAACATGAGTATAAATCATCTCATGATGTAAATAACATCATAACTCATGTAATGCAACTAAATGCATATGAAGGATTAACGTGTAGGCGATCGAACTTTTCTTAGCGTCTTAAGCACTTCATATCATCTAGTCTCAAATTTATCTAGAGCTCATATCATCGGGAGGTATGCTCACCCGTTATTTAGCATCTAAAGCATATATTCATCTTTCCTCAACCGGTATATGAGGATATGCTTACACACTTTCCATCATGTCTATATGCAGCTTTAACATCTTATGGTACGTAAATACATATTTTAGTGAGCTTAACACTTTTAATTCATCTATGGATTATCAATCCATTTACATTACCTCTTGCTCACATTCATCATCTTAAAACATGTATTACATTGCATCTTCATGCCATTTCATAACATTAATCATGCATTGACATCATGACCATGTATATCTTTTAAAGAGCGTCTAACTAATGGGTAAACATTAGTACATGGCTTAACCATGTCAATATATAATCAATTAATAATCATAAGAATTAATTATGTTAAATCTTAAACTTTAATAAATAGAAGCTTATAATTCAAGCCATTTTCCATCCATTTGATAATCGAATTGCTCTTGGACTAAGCATAAAAGTTGTAAGGCTATGTCTTAAATTTTTAGTGCTTCAAGAATCATCTCATTTCGATTTTTATAACTCAAGTTATGGTCGAAATACTTAAGCATGTTTAACATAACCCATAAGCTTACCAAATCCGAATTTCATATTAAACTATGCCACATCAATTCCTATTGACAATCAACTAATAGGTCAACTTATGGATCAAATAAACCTTCCCTTAATAGTCTTTAACATCTTAAAGGAAGTATAAAATCTCATTCCCATAATCATCCATTATTGTTATAACATTGTAAGCTAATGCAAACAACACATCAACACTTCTAATAGCAACCATTCAACACCATGTAGCTTTCAATACTATAAGTTTTTGCCATAATCAACATCCACACTTCATTTTCTTCAATCAAACATAACAACTCATAAAACATAAATAGCAATAACTTCATGTATAATGAATTCAAAACAATAAATAGAATAAATGAGTTCAACTACACTTGCCATCAACTAATTCTATGCCTTAAAGCCTCAATTTGAGGTTTCATTAAAATCTACAAACCCTAGCATAATCCCTAAAGTCATGGGAGGTTTTTCCTTACCTTTTATAAGAATTCCTCCAACAAATCATTTGCCTTTGTCTTCTTTTACACCTTAATCCTACATATATAACATTATACATCAACATCTACTTCAAATCTTCAAATCACATCAAAACTAGGGTTTTTAATCCTTACCTTAAACCCTTCAATTTGAAGATCCAAGGCTCCCATCTTGTTCTCCTTGAAAAATTATGCAAAACTCCTTTAAAACTTAGAGAAAGAAAGCTTGTTTCATGGAAGATTTGAGAGAA